TTGTGTGTGTGTGTGTGTGTTGGAGGGGGGTTGTATTTTTAGTTTTTTTTATATAATTGTGCATTAAAATGAATTATATACATTAATTGGTTTCCTATAATATCAATTTATAGTAAATTAATACGATTGTTTATTATAAAAATTTTCTATTATTTAGTGCATTCATGTTTTTTTCTAAAACACAATGTCAAATTACTTTTTTTTAATAAACAATCAATTTAGAAAAAATTAAATAATATATATATATATATATATATCTTAGGAATTTTTATTCATAAATCTCATTTGGGGATGCTCAAACTAAATAAGTCCATGAAAGAAATTTATAACCTAATTAATCGCATGTGTTTATATTTTTATTTCATGAGATCCTTTTTTCATGATTTACATTATTTGTTGGATTATTATACCCTTATATTTATTGTTGATATATATTACAAATGAAAAAGCACTACAAAAAATTAAGGTTTTAGAGACCAAAATATAGGGACAAAATTATTTTTTAGGGACCAAATAGTTTTGTTGTGAAAAGTGTCGTTATTATATTTTTAGCAACAAAAATTGGACATTAGTAATGAATTATTATCCCTTGGGACCAAATTTTTCATCTCAAAAAATTAACCATTTTGAGACCAAATTATTTTGTCCCTAATAGTCTATTTATTAGTGACATTTTCAAAATTTTGTCGCTAAAAGCCTTATTTTTAACTTTTCGGGACGACCTTTTAGTGACTATCCTCATGATGACGGAAATTGGTCCCTAAATATTTTTTGCAACAAAAATTTCACTTTTAGGGACCAAAACATTTAGTTTCTAAAACTCTTATATGTTGTGGTGAGGATATACATGTATCCTTTTTTACTATATTTTGACAGTTACCATGATTCACGCTTTTGATTGTGATTCAATTTCACTCTCGTTGTGGTGTTGTTTCATTGTGCTAGGGTTTCATTGGTATTAGAGAAAGATGACGAATCAAGACTGCATTAGTATTGTTTGTTTGTGCTCTTTTTTTTTTTAAAATTTTTTTTTTAACATAATTTTGCAAAGTTAAACATTGATTAGAGTGAGAGAATGAGTAGATAATTTCGTTTCAAGGTTAATATTATTTCTTGTTTAGGGATGCATGTTCATTTATGTTTGGATTTATATTAGAATTGTATGCTCTGTTTTTTACTTTCAACTTCATTTTCAGGAATAGATGAAGATGCAAGTTTATTTTGTTGAATGAGGTTATTATTCTTGTCTAGTAATGGTAATGCGTTCATGTAGGATTATGTTTTTTTGGATGGTGTGAATGTTTACATTGCGTGAACAATGTGAACGTTCACATATTACTGGTTATAGCATTATGGGGAAATGTTTGCATATTGTTTATTACCATTATATTTGGTTGTGTGAATTTGAACTTATCTAATCCATGATGTGTAATGATGGTAATAAAGTTTTCAGTTTGGGATTAGCAGTGCAAAATATGGACATAACTATATTTTTTTCAAGATGTGAATGTTCACATATCATTGGTTTTTTCATGTTTATGGTATTATATGGTTATAATGTGGATGTTCACTTCCTTGTTTTTGTGTTTTTGCAGCAAATAGATACCTTCATGTATCAGTGTATGTATGCTTATTGGGTGGGTATTTCAATGAATGTGAACGTTCACATTCACTGAAGTTATTATTGCTGTGGATTATTATATTTTAATGTTTTATGATGTGAACTTCGACATTAGAAGCATATGATGGTTGCATGACGCGCTATGTAGAGTAATAATTGTATGGTTATTGCATAATGTGAATGTTTACATATCACTGATTATTGTATGAGTTTGCCATAATTATTATGTTGTGTGAATATTGTAAGGAGTCATTACTTGTTGTGAATTATTACATTGTAACATTTTACAATTGGTGTTGTGACTATCACATTATTGATCAATGTTAATATTTACATTTAGAAATAGTCATACAAGCACAAACAACATTAATGTATTTTTTCACTAACATACATTTGTAATGTGAAAGTTCACATCAACATTTATTTACTACAACTTATATTAAACCAATTGTTAGGTGTATACAAATATACGCAACCACTAGCAATGTGGATGTTCATAGTGTCTACACTTCGATCGATGTGAATGTTCATAGCGTTGCTTACGATTTAAGATTTTGAGAATGTTAGAGATTTTATCCCTAGAATAAGGGAGAGACTTTTTTCATAAAATAAGTAAGAGATTTTCTTCATGAAATAAGGGAGATATTTTTTTCCTAAAATGAGAGAGAAATTTTCTTCATAAAATGAGAGACTATTATTATTTTTTATTGTAAATTGGTTTCAAAATGGAAACAAACCCAAAAAGTTTGGAATGATGACTTGGTCATATTACCTTAAACAGGACCAATGGAATATTCAAAAAGAAAATGAATTAAATGGAACATAACATTTAATAATAGGACTTTCTGAAAAATGACCATATATCTTAAAGTATAAATATACACTTTGCTTTTAGCGTAACTTAAAACTTATATTTTATAATTTATATATAATTTTTAATATATTTATGAAATAATTATTTCGTCACGATTCAATTCTGCTTGACCTAATGGTTGAATTATTAACTCTTGATTCGATCATTATTTTGATTTGCTCAACGATTTGAGTGTCAAAACATTGAATGGTATACAACTGCTCTCGAAACATTGAATGGCATACAACTGCTCTCTAAGGCATTTACCTTATGGGGCTAAGCATAAACACAAGTTGGTTGTTGTGGATGGCTTTGATGGATTTATGGCTACATATCTATATTAGGTGATAAATTTGCTTTATTTAAGTTGTTCAGGCCATAGGTCCATTCTATAGACTTTTAAGGCCATAGATCCAAGGACCTTTTTCTTGGGTCTGTAAGGACAGCGCA